CTCCGCCACTGACCTTAAATGCTATATTTTATAATGATGTTTATTGTGATATATAATTTGGATTAAATTGGTGGATTGTCGATTTAGGGATGTGTGTGGGCCTTTAAAACCGAAAATGGAGGAGTATATATATGGTAACATTTTTACATGTTGTGTAACCATTATATTTGATGATATGCATCAACAAATCTCAATACTATATGAGTTAAATATAAAACTAGATGGAATCCATTTTTACCTACCAAATGTTGGAAGTATATTATATATATTAAGTAAAACATTTCCACATATATATTTAAAGGAGAACTAAAACAAGAGTAAACACATGTGTTAAACGGGTCCTCCACATCCGACTACCTTGGTCGTGCCCATAGTAAACCTCCTCCTTCAATTCATTATTGTTGCCTCCTGTCCACCTACATATAATTTTTGCCTCTGTGGTTGGCCTTCAAAACTAGTCAGCTCTTCAAGTTGTTGACATCCAACTTACTATCAACCACTTCTCTGTTCCTTTTCTTTATTCTTCACCCTTTCCATCTCGTCCCATATCGATCGCCTGGCTTGAACGAAGTCATAGCTTTCACTCACTAAGACCAGGGAGTGAACATATTAGGTGCAATTTTGTTGTCTTTTTATGTGTGTAGGGAGTGAACACATGGAATGCGCATCCATGTTGTTTGACATTCTAGTTAAAAATGGCGCAAATTACTTGGGTAAAAAGATTTCCGTTCAATCACATTGCCCCTTAAGGCACTAGATTGCCAGAGCCAATCGAGTGACAAGTTTCATGGCAAGCTAGCTCCTATAATTGAGTCACTTTGTGTCGGAGCCACAAACTGACCATATGCCCTAGCTCTGGCGGCTCTCTTGGTGGCGGGGGCAACGAGCTGGCAAGGGCAAAGTTCCATAATCCACATGTGTGCAATAATTTGGGAAAATGCACCCTTTGAACCATGACACTTATTTTGGAATGGAGAAAGTATTTAGTATATATAGCTTAACCTTGTTTATCAAAAGTTTGACTCATTTGGCCTCTAAACGTTGATTCCCAGCTCTGTCACTGTGCGCTAACTCCGTTGGATCTTTTGAAGAAGACGACAAAGATTTCAAGCCATCCCACTTTATAAAGATCTAGCACAAAAATGAAAATCCAAAAGCAGTTAATTTGAATAGATGCTAGCCTACACCCAAGGCAGAACTAACCCTAGAACCTAACCTATACATCTTGCGACTTGGGTAGACTCTCAAAGAGAGGGGCAGAACAAAGAGAATGAGAGAGGGAAAATGAAAACCCTAGCAACCTATTTGGTGGCCATTAAGGCAAGAGAATGGGAGTTTGCATAGGGATTAGACTTGGGAAGTAGATTTTACTTCCATTCCCTTGTTTGGTATAAGTTGAGAATTAGACCGGAATAGAGCTCTGCCCACAAATTAGCAGGGTACCCCATGGAAAGAAGACAATGGGAATTGGCCCTCTCAACTCCCATTCCCTTTCCCATTTAAATGTTCCATGCCCTCTGATCAATCAAAGGACTTTTAATCTTCTCACCCCTCAACTCCCATTCCCCACCTTTAGTTCCCACGAACCAAGCACGCTGTAGAGCTTAGAGGATACTCCCTCCGCTCCTAAATATATGGTGTTTATGTTTTGGTAGTTCAATTATGATGTTTTGGTAGTTCAACATATATTTTGAACTATCAAACATCATATACCGAACTATCGAAACATTATATGTTTAGGAACGGAGGGTGTAGATGATAGGATGTATTCCCCGCAAAAAAAGAAGAAGATGATAGGATGTATTGAAGGTAACGAAAAGATTTGGAGCCATGGCTGAAGAAAAGAGACTTCGAGCCGTACCACTTTACTACGAGCCCTAGGGATGCGCTAGAGATACTCTTTAAAAAAGAGAGAACGGGAGAGGTGAAACGAAAGCCATAGTAGAAAAAAAGAAAGATTTAGAGCCACAGGTAAAGAAGAGAGGAGAAGATTTCGAGCCGTTCCATTTTACTACTACGAGCCCTAGGCAAAAAAGAAAGAGGGAAAGCGATTAAGAATTGGGCAGGACGCGACGGTGGTAGCCCGACCGAAGCAATCCCAGTGCCTGCCGCCTCTCCCTCCGCCCCACGCAAGGCACCCGACCCGACCTCCCGCTCAAAAATCCCCCACACCCCACCCCACCCCCGACGCCACTCCACCCCCGCCC